TATATATATATATATATTATTGCTAGTCAATAATTAAAAATAGTATACCACAACTCTACTTACCATCTTGAGAACAAAGTCAATCTGTTATATTTTTACAAATAATTCTTCCTCAATTATAAACTAGAACAGTGTTTTCCAACATTTTTTTAAATATATGTGACAATCTTTCAGCATATCGAGATCGGTGACATTAAGATACATGCCACTTTTGTTTTTATAGATTTTACCCTTTCACATATTGCTATTTTTTTCTTGTTTACTTCTTAGAGTATTAAGATTAAAAATACAATATTTTATGTTACGTTTATAATAAGTTCAATTAATTTAGCAGATAAGAAAATTTATCAGATTTTAATTAAAATAATTACACTGAGAAATGTGTTAACAAACAAATTTCATTAAATATCTTATCATTTATATATTTGTTTAATATATTTATGCCAATAGCTATAGCATTAATGCATTATTATTTAAATAAATGTATTCTCTACGATATCGCCTTTCTTATTTCTTTAACAGAGTTGTAAATTTTTTACGATATTCCAATTGGGAAGCACTGTTCTAGGATTTCATCATTGTACATTCAAGATATTGTTGTTTTGCAAGTATTTATGCTGGAATAAATGTATTACGTAATATATAACTATAGAAACAACATCCAGCGTATTATTTACTCATAGCTGCTTTTATATATCGTAATTTGGTGCTAATATTGATTATAAAAATCTTCCTTTTCTCCCTATGCTTTAATCAATACTAGAAAGAAAAAGAATTATCTCTTTATATTTTCAAATTAGCGGTAAATAATATTGATAAAACTATTTCTATAATAGCTAAGTACTGCTTGTACAATCTTCTCGGTGTAAATGTATTACCGATTTAATCTAGTCTATTAAAGACACATAAGCCGTACAAGGAAGAAATGCACTTGACAATGCAACAGACGATCCTTACACTAAAATCAGGTATTGCATGTTATTCCAAATATTTGCGTCCTTTTTTTTTTACATGTTTCCGTGATAACTGTACAACACTTGTATATACTATTATATAACAATCAGATTTCTTCAAATTGTGATAAATTATCATTTTTACGAGCATATACAAGCCCAAGAAATTAACTCGTTAATCCCTGAAAAAAACTATAAAATAATATAAAATAAAGCAGCTTTCCTTCCGGTTTGCTGGATTAATCAAAATTAAATCAAATTAAGATTATATCAAAACAATTATCACATAAAAATATTATATAAATTGCTTCGATATTCACTTTAGTAATTTACAAGATTGACCATTAATTAAGTATCTATAATATGGTGTGCACTTGTATTTCAAAATATGGAGTTAATACGCGTTTTTCTAATGTACACCACAATGCAAGCTGGCAATTATGTGTATCTATTTTTTTCTGTTATAAGAACTTACTGCGACACAGAGGATCTAGGTGTCACCGACTATATACCTCTCACTAAGCCATTTCTACATAAATTACTACAACTTGAAGACGCGTTTTACCTTGAGCAACCAAATTTGCTTCGGCTTGAGCGCGCTGCAGCCAAAACACAAATGTAGCGCTCAGAAGCATCCTTGTCTGTGTCTACACTTCCCAGCAGGGCTGCCGCAAGCCGGTGTGCAAGTTGTGCATTGCACAAAGACGCCAAATTAAATTTTAAAAATCACTTCTCTATTCTTCACACCAATTGCGTGTGCTCGTTCCTGTCAGATATGTCTTTCGAAACACAATACTGCATATGGATTTAGAGAAACCGTAAAATCTAATATCATTGATCGAATTCGGATAGTTTATTTCCCGGCGCCTCTAAAAATCTTTCTGTACAGTGTAGAACCGTGCCGAATCATTTTAGTATTAGGAGCAAAAATGAAAAATTGCCCTCTATAAAGTTATTTAAACAAATTACAAAAATATTTTGTCATATATTAAGGGCATCCCCTTTGCACAGAGGCGTCTCGTATGCTTAACAGCAGCTCTGCTTCCCAACTAGCATAGATTAAAGGAATATATTTTACTCTAGGCCGCCTTCTTCCTCTAGTTTCGATAAAAATTTCGCGACTCTGTAATTTGGTTCCACTTGACGTGCCATATCAACCAGGCACAGTAATTTCTTAATACCAATGAATACCCTGAAAATTATAAATTAGTTGAAAAATTGATTTGCACAATATGCTACGATAAAATAACGTTTTGTCAATAAAAATATCGATAAAATATTTACCGTTTTCCTTGAAGTTTTGCATGCAAAGATGTCAGTTCGTGTTTCGTGAAGAGATCCACTTCATCCAATACACTTAACAGATGGTCAGGGGTTGATAAATTAGGCACATGAAGAACAGTATTAAATGCTGAGAGTATCTCCAGATCGTCTAATACTTGTCTATAAAAATATATATTATTAGAAACGTATATTTTAACGCCTTCTTCTGCTGTGTTTAAAATCAGACGTAAAATCACTATTCTACCTGCGACTAGAAGTGCACAAAATCAACAATTTACGACCAGGTGGCGGCGGCTTCTTTAATAATACCAAAAGTGCTTGCAATGTCAGATTAGAGTATCTTGGCCCGATTGGTCCATAATCTAGCAGACGTTCTATATTATCAACTAAAATGCAGCTGAGTTGTGAACGATATGCATCATCGAACACCTAAAATGTATGAAATACAAAGAATGAAAGATTATTTCAAATTTTATATCAAATATAATCATACACAAGTTGAATGTAAAGCAAGCTGCATTACCTTCCGTATAAGGAGACATTTTGCAGATTCAATAAAGCCAACCATGTCATCAGGTGTGCACACTTTAACGAATGGAAAGTCTGAATTCTTTGCAATTTGTGCAGCAAGCGCTGTCTTCCCACTATTCGGTGGTCCTTCCAAAAGAACAGACACCAGGGCAGATCCTTCAGTCGCCCGAGCCTGTTGAATGCATAGACTGCCATCGGCGAGAATTTCGGCCACTGGTCTGCCCCAGTTGATGATTCCACGTGTCAACAATTGATTCAATATTTCAGCACTTGTACCAAATGCCTAAAAAAATGTGTAATTACAATATTTAGTTTGTATCATACACGATATAAGCACGTGTTGTAGTATTTTTTAAGTAAAAAACGATATGGTTAAAGCAATATAATCATGCAAATATTCTAAATTGAAAAGTAAGCTTCGCTAGAAGTGCGTAATAGTTTTTTAACTTACCGGTTTAACATCATGCTCTAGCGCGTGGAAAAAATCACTTTTAGAAACCATAAGCTTCTCCATCGCAGACGGGTCTACCTCTACCTTGCTGGAGGCTTTTATTAACCGATTCATAGCAGTACTCTGTGCAGCTCTGACTAGACCTTCCAATTCTGCGCCGCTGAAATTTTTAGTTAACACTGCCAATTCTTTTAAATCTACATCGGGCGCTATTTTTTTGTAATCTCTCATTCGGGATGTGTGAATGTTGAGAATCTGAAATCGTCCATGTTCGTCCGGCAAACTGATCTCCATTTGCAGCTTTGAACATAGAAAATCGGGATATATTAAAATGTGAAATAATGGCGGATATTATCAAGTATTCAAACGAGTATATAATTAAAAGAATTCTCATTGAAAAGAGGGCCAGTTTTACCTCCAATCTGCCAGGTCTCAATAAAGCTTCGTCAATCATATCCCTTCTATTAGTCATACCAATAACAAGAATATTATTTAACTGCTCGACACCGTCGATCTTTGCAAGCAACTGATTAACCACTGTATCGTGAACTCCCGTGTTTCCAGCAACACTACCTCGAGATTTACAAATAGCATCTATTTCGTCAAATATGATTATGTGAAGTCCACTGTTTGGTCCAAGCTAGAAATATATAATTTGTCTTCATTTTATTTCACTGTTATATGTAAAAAAATCAAATATAAATGTGTTATTAAGGGAGTATTCCTCTCTAGAGTGCTGTTTTGAAGATGATTTTTAGGATAGAATAAATAAAAAACTGTTCGAGTTTTCTTTTTGCAATTTTTTATACATATTAATTGGTGCTTTGAAAACAATTATAAATTGTGTAGGGGAAAAAAAAATTTTTTTTATATATAGTTTTATGCGCTCGAGCACAATGGTGCGCGGAAAACAGCCCTGACTGGCAACCAGTGTTGTGGACGTTGTATGTATCTGAAAAAAAACCAAACATATTCATAATCTGTATAAGTGTGGTGAGGGTTGATAGCAGATTTAACCAGAAAAAAACTTTTTTGACAAAATGGCGGTATGCTAAACGTTTACTGTCGATTTTTCCTACGTTTTTTCCTCTTCAGCGAGTCATTAAAAAAAATTTTTTTATTTCGACTCAATTCTGCTACCAACGTTCAAAAACAGTCTACTGAAGATATATATTAAATTCGAGCTGAATCGGCCAATTGGTTGTCGAGATATCGTGGTTGCCGATTTGAAAAACATAGTTTTGAGAAAAACACGTTTAAAGTTTTCATACCGTGTTGATGAGGTTTAAATCTAATTATTGATACTTACTGGTTAATCAGCCAATTCGGGACCATAAATGTGTCCTTCCTCTCTCTCGTAAAATCTTTCTTCAGCAGATAGTGCTTCTCTTCTAACAATCCTGGCTTTTTTTGAAGCGGCTAACGCTCGTTTGTTGGAACGGTCGATTCGATGTTCGTCGCGTAACGTTGCATACATATTTGCTTGCTGTCCGATTTTTACACCCATTGTGGCTAATATTTTTAATATTGTTGAAAATCCTTCATTAAAAATACAAACAGCCAAGAAAGTGGCGATTTCAACCGTAGCTGTTCCAGCGTGAATGTGTTTAGGAGCAAAAGTTCAAATCAATGAATTTAGCGATTCATTATTATTTTCTGTCTCTGCTCCTAAGCATCGCTCTAACAAATCCTCCGACGAAAGATCTTCATAAACGGGTCTTATAGCCTCTAAAACTTCATCACAGAGAGGTGGTCTATCATGACTAAATTTCAGGAGCGATCCAGCAGCTTCTGCGTTACGCCACTTACACCAGCTTAAAGATCCCGGAGGACAATATGTGTGTTGAGGATTTTCGTCACTCGAAGCATAGTGATAGAATGTTGACCATACGGCCTTCTTCATCTCTTCGACCGAATGGCAATGCCTTCTAATGGCCAAACCGTAATAAATCGTCAAATCGCCGATAACCTTATCAGTCAATTTTCCTTGGCCTTTTCCACCTATACCTTTACTCTTCTTTTTCACGCTACGTAATCTCGTCCCCATTCTTTTTGCAACGTGTCCAATACACTCTTTCTTTTGTACAATTGTATCTTCGCCGTAAGGGCGTCTACAATTGCTTTGTACATTTTGCAATCTCCATCGCCGATGTATCGAGTATATTTCACGCCGTATTTTTCCACCGATCGAAGAAACATCTCTGTCGCCGCGTCGACTTCCATCTTACCCGCGCTGCCATGGTGGTTATTAGTGCATTGTTCTTCTTTCAAACCAAATATCGAAGTCCTCAGTGCTCATTTTGCTTTTCGATAAGGCACAGGCTTGGCAAAAGCTTGATTTGACCACAGTATCTACCACTTTCTTGCTGTACTTACCGATTAAACTAGTCACACCAAACCGTGAACTAAAACCTCGTTTTTTCCAAGTGCCATCCCCTGACACTGTTAGATTCGATGATGAAGATTCTGTTTCAGAAGTCATTTCTTTCTCCTCATCGACGGCTCTTTTCAACACGCAATCGTACACAGCTTTAGCCGCGCAATGTAAATTCTCCATCGCAGCAAAATAACACGTTTTTGAAACTCCAAGTCCGATATCCATTATTCCACAAAATAAATTGACTCCTCTGCCAATTCCTAACAATCGCATTGCCACCACAATCCGACGATTGATCTCAAACGCTTTCTCGTTAAACGGAGAAGAGTTTATGTATTTTACACCGCACGTACATTGCAATTGAATTTTGAAACCCAATCCGCGAGGGCTGGTTTTAGTAAAAGAAATTTCGTTTTTGCAGATTTTGCAAATAACGGACGCACTAATTGCAGCAAAAACAGAGAAAAAATTCAATATGTAATAACCGTGTTGTATATCAAGCGGAATTTCCTCGTCACCAGTTCTTCGCAACTTCGCTGCTGTTGCACTTGTAAAATTTGTATTCGTTTCTCCAGAATGCTGGTTTCCTCTGAAACGTCTTTTTTTAGTAACTGAACTCCGACACGCGCGAGAGATATTAGTTTTCGTACCCTTCCTACTACTCATTTTGCTGCAGTCTGTCTATTTCGTTCAAAGATTGAAACGAAACTAACCTCAACGCAGTACGAAACTACATTAAAGTCAAAATCGAACAAATAAAGCACCCCGAAACGTTACGAAAAATATTTCTAAAAAAGGGAAAACGCAACCGTGTACATGTGACAGTCTCGGCAGGAGCGCGCAGCTGCATCTCGGCCGCGCTCCTCGACCGTACTTCTTAAAATTTCTATGGCTTAGTTTATACCGATTGTTTAGTACGCGTACCAAGTACTAAATCTGCTTCTTTGATTGGTGTAGATTTTACACTAAACGATTTATATCTATCGGAGAAGCAGATTTAGTACTTGGTACGCGTACTAAACAATCGATGTAAACTAAGCTTATAACTCAGCCAATTTTACGAATTTTACTATACAGTTTTAACAGGCGTATTTCTGAAGGTCTGTAGTATAATAAATTTCAAAAAACTCAAAATCAATTTTTTGAAATTTCTAGAGAGAAATACTCCCTTAATATGTATTTCATATTACACACAATTTTCATATTACTTACCCTTTTCTCTTCGTCTTCCGCATCAGCAAACAATCTCCTAATATTAGCTTCACTCTCTCCCACATATTTATCCAAAATTTGTGGACCATTTACAATTTTGGGTTCCCTTGCATTTAGCATGTTTCCTATTTGACGAGCCATTAATGTTTTTCCTGTACCAGGCGGCCCATATAGCAAGATTCCTTTTACGTGCTTGCAACCCAATTGAGTGACAATCTCGGTCGGAAAAACACGGGATGCAAACGCTCTTCGAAAAATGGCGCTGAACTCCTTATCTAAGCCACCAATTCCCATTTTCTGAAAGTCCCAATCTGGGTTGATAATCGCCTGTCGAACCGCTTTCCCTTTAGCTTGTCCAACGAGATTCAGGCTGGAGTTCTCTGCTTTCTCAAACTGTATTACAGAGTCACCTAAGCAACGACCCATTTTGGTCTTTTTAGGCACTGTGCTTTGTCCCGAACTGATGGCCGATAAGTCAGCAGCTTCCAAACTTTTGACAACCAGTCCCAGCAATTTCTTATCTTTAAACTGGAATGCCAGCTGCTGACCCACGGTGAATGCCTGGCCTGAAAACTGTAGCAGGAATTCCCTGGCCATTTCATCTGTATTGTATGGTTCCAAAGTAACACTGAAATAATAATGTATAAACATTAATAATAGTGAAAAAAGAAGAATGATTCTTTAGTACAAGACCTGTTTGTTGCGCTCGAATTGAGATCTACTGCTTATATACAAATATAATCTAGTTATTTAAACGATATTTCACAATTCAGGAAGAGTCTTGATCTTATTATCTTGTAATAGCAGACTTGAAATACTTACGTTTTTTTCTGCAGAAAGTCAGCTTCCACAACAATGGTGCATAAACATTCTGTATTAGAAGTTGGATCAAAGTGATATGGTCGAACCTCAATTTCTTGATTAAGGGACAATGTTGCCCATTTTCGTTGAGGCAAGCTAAAGCCAACTGTACCAGGAGGAACTTCATGATGTGTCCTCACAGTGAATACAAAATGATAATTTGGTGTCGTAGTTACTTCGATATGTCTGTAACAGATAACAAAAATTGAATACCGGCAAGTAAATTAATGTTAACACAGCAATTTTGTATTGCATCATGTTTAAAAAAATGCAGACAAATCTATAACACTATCATACAAATTGAAAGAAATTTTGAAAGAATAAAATAATTTGTTATTGATTAATAAAACTAGATATAAAATAATTTAATGTTTTATTTACAAATGTATAAAATGTGTCTAAATTATTAAAAAATTCTAAAATCTAAAATTATTAGACGTTCTTTTGATGATTAATTATTTAGTAAATTTGAAGTCATTTTCTCAAAAAGAGATTGTGTCATAATTTGTTACCTGACATCATCTGGAAAATCATTTGCATTGATAATAGCGCAGTTGGAGAGGCTCAGCTCATCCGTAGGACATCTCACTGCTCTCATCCGCTGAAGCAGACAAAATTGTTACCTCATCTTTTATGCAAGACAACGGACGCGCATAAAAGGTTTACAAAGGGGATTATTGATGTGGCTTTGATGAGGGAGGGACACAAGTGATTTGTAAGAAAATATTCTCGTCCGTCTTCGGGAATCGATTGAGAATTTGGGAAAATGTCTGTTTGTGCGATGAAATGCGTTTGACAGAAATCAAAGTTGCTGACACGTTTCGCGGTGTTACTCACCATCATTGACATTTTTTGACGGAAGTCAACAGATTCAACTCACACTTGAGTCGCACTACTCAACACAAATAGCGCAACCGTCTCCGCACCTCCGGTATTGATGCAGTAGAGTTGTCCGCGATCATGCGCGAGAGCGAGCAAACGGTCGGCGATTCTTCGCACCATTTCGAATTTCTAAAAATATCAATCCTTTGAGATCCTCCGTTCAATAACAATTTTCTAGTGTATTTTATCGGAGTTTTTATATTGTTTTTTCCCCTTTTCGCGGTATCTTATAGTACAGCGTTCGGAATTAATTGAGCATTTGATGCGATTTTCATGATTGACACCCACTTTCCTTTCTATACGCGCGCGCCGTAACAGCTGAGACCAATGCAGCGTTAAGAGCGGCGCTATCCAAGTAGATTGACGTTCCTTTTCCGTAAGCATCTTGATTACTTAAATACGGGATGAAAGACATGGCAATTTATTGTTATGATACAATTTATTTTTATTTTTATATTTCTGCAGTTTGATTATTCGAAGCGCTCTGCTGTCACTGATTGGTTCCGCCATTTTATATCAAACCAATCAAAAATTGGACAACACAAATCAAACTCTTACTTCTAGGGTCTCTAAAAAATATGTCAGTTAGTTTCCCATCTACAATCGCGTCGTGAACGTTGCTCTTTCTCTCTGTCCGATCCTCTTTGGTTTCGCTGACCTCAAGTGCCAGAGTCCTCCTTAAAGTATCCTTCATCGGTGACATACGCGCCCGAGCAGGAGTTGTTCTACGATTTATATACGTGCTTCTAAAGTAAGTAATAAACGCGGCGGATACGATACATTGCTGTTCGATAAAATCGACAAGTTTGTCGCGCGCCACGCGCGCGCTCCGTCGCGCTTTTGCCGAAATATTCAATGGCCTCGGCCATCATCGTGGTCACGCACCGCGCGCGATCTTAACCTCTGAATCAGCCGTTTTAACATGTACGTGCGTAATCTGCCGGCCTTGGACCGTCACGTGTGCCCCGTTAAGATTGCGCCCGACAAAGGCGTGTAACGGAGCGGCGCGTGGACGACTCCTGGCGTCGCCATTTGTCAAGAATCGCGCTTGACGACTTCATGGTGTCGGAGCGCAGTGTGCATCATCGCATACATTCCATTGGATTTTCTTAATTCATGTAGTAACAATAATCGTATTAATCACATTGATTAAAATTGTGATTAAATTTCGAGAGGCGTATCTTCGATGTTTACATGAATTGTATACGAATTCCATAGCGTTTCATAACTTTTCGTAATTTGTCTTTCTCTGAAAAATAACTTTGAATTTATTGTATAAGAAATGATAATATTATTTCACCGACTGCGTACTGATTTACATACTGATTTACATTTACATACTTTTCAGAAGTATTGTATGAGTCAAAAAATAGAAAAACCGATACTATCAGGTCAACGCATAAAGACCAGAAAAAGAGGTAGATATACATTTATATGGATTTTATATTGATTCATAAGTCCACGACAATTATCGAATTAATAAAATTGCTACTTATAGATGAAAGAGAAAAGTATGATCCAACGGGATTTAGGGATGCAGTTCTGCTTGGCTTGGAAAAAGCTGGTAACGACTTAGAAGCAATTTCTAAATTTTTGGACGCAGCTGGTTCTAAGTTGGACTATCGTCGTTACGGGGAAGCTCTGTTTGATATTCTGATAGCTGGAGGTCTTTTGGTACCCGGTGGTTCCATTGCTCAAGATGGCGAGAAACCATTTAAGACCAGTGCATGCGTTTTTGAGCAGCCAGAAGACATGGATGCTATGCGGAATTTTGAACAGGTAAAAAAGAATTGATTTTTTTTTATCAATAGTATTTAATTTTTTAAACATTCAAGTAACACCAGCGCATGTTTGCTTTAACAAATAGGTCTTTATCAAACTCATACGACGCTATAAATATCTGGAAAAAATGTTTGAAGAAGAGATGAAAAAAGTGTTGGTATTCATGAAAGGATTTTCACCAAAAGAACGTATCAAACTAGCTAGAATGACGGCACTGTGGATCTCGAACAGCTCTGTACCACCCACAGTTCTTTCAGTTTTGATCAATGAGCATCTTGTTAAAGACAACTTGGCATTAGACTTTCTACTGGAAGTCTCTGTTACTTGGAAACAGGAAAAGGGTTTATCTAGTTTAATGACGGCACTGAAAAGAGGAGGTATCGAGGGAAGGTAAAATTAAGATAATATTTTTATTTCATTTTCTATTTGAATCCTATTTTAAATTTATAATTATTTTGTGTCAAAATATAATTATTTTTTTCATGATTCATTGTTATCTTTTCGTTTATATAACTTTTCTGCCATATATATTTTAGGTTGATGGAATTTGTACCACCAAATAAACGAACAGAGGATTATTTTCGGTCTGTATTCGAGGCAGTAGGCTTGGCAGATATCGTGAAATTACACAAGGCTCAAGCCAGTCAGGAAGCTAAGCGGGATTTGCAACAACTTCTCTTGGACGAATTAGCAGAGAATAGGCCAATGAAGGACATTACATTAGATCTCAAAGAAATGGCGCAAAGAAATGGCATTCCTGAACACGAAGTGATTGGATTGGTAATGTTTCTCACATTCTTCGAGTCTTAGCACTTACAGAAAAGATAGAAAGAGAGTCTTTTAGAGATAATAATTATTTTCATCCACATAGATTTGGGTTGTTGTAATGGGTCAAGCTGAATGGAACAAGAAAGAAGAATTAGTTGCTGAACAGGCACTGAAACATCTAAAAACTTATACTCCACTATTCGGTGCTTTTACAACCACTGCCAGATCTGAGCTCGCACTTATCCTCAAGGTCCAGGAGTTCTGTTATGAGAACATGAACTTTATGAAAGTCTTCCAAAAGATTGTTTTACTCTTTTATAAAAGTATGTTGATATATGTTTGACGGAATAATTTAAAATTAATCTATTTTTTTGTAGTGATTTATTATCTGCATAATTTAATTGAAACACTTAAATTTTTCAGCCGATGTTGTATCAGAAGAGGTAATATTGAAGTGGTTCAAGGAAGGTCACTCTGTCAAAGGAAAAATGCTCTTTTTAGACCAAATGAAAAAATTCGTAGAGTGGTTGCAAAATGCTGAAGAGGAGTCGGAATCAGGCGAGGAAGAAGATTAGAAGAATTCTCGAGTAAGTTGTCAACTATTAAATGCACTTTGTGGGAAAAAAAAATTACAAAGCATGTTTTTTTTCATAGGAAAACGCATCATTGCCACACTGACAAAAAAATGACACAGTCCCAAATCTCAACATGGATCAAGAACAATTCGGCATCAATCAATCATGGGTATTTGAACTCTTGAAAATATACAAAATAAATAAAATTTAAATCAATGTTAGATACGATGGATCAGAAAATAGAAAATTTTTCAAATTGTCAAATAAGAGAGTTAACATTAACATCCAATCAGTGTGAAAGAACTGTAAATTTGCAATGTCTTTGAATTGTATTACTTTAAGGAAAAATATTTTGTGTTACATTTTTATAACTCCGCTACAAAATATATACAGAATAACAAAGAAATTATAAGGAGAAAAAAAATCTTTATCCCTGTGTACGTACAATTTTCGGATCCCTATCTTTCTTTGTATAATACTATATATATAAATATATATATATTGTACTCTAGTTTATAGAAAATATACTGACAGGTGGTGTTTAATATATGACGTTTTCGTAATTCCTAGTTTCCTTTGTAATAGAATGGACAAATTTTTTAAGGAAAATTCCTCGATACAATCATAATTTACTTATTCATAAAGAATAAAGTCTTACTTTTTTTTGGGACTTTACTAAGTAAATTTGTTCAATCTATGCAATCTTATTCATATCATACACAATGTACAGTAATGACGAGAAGTTAATTTAACTTTATTTACACTTTTTCTAGATTTATTTTTGGTTTGTACTTATAAATTCTCATATCCGGAGTTGATTGTTTCTTGATAAGCGTTTTGCCTTTCATCAGAGGCACCAATTTCTCCGGCACGGTGATACGATGGTGTTTCGTCTGGTAAGTCTCGCATAGTGCGATTAACATGCGCGGTATTGCGCACGCGGTTCCATTAAGCGTGTGCACGTGAACCACGTTCCCATCTTTCGTTCTGTATCTGATGTTCAGGCGTCTCGATTGGTAATCTGTACAATTGCTACAACTGGACAATTCACCATACAACTTTCTTCCAGGCATCCAGCCCTCCATATCACATTTCCTGAAGCAAGAAAAAGATTGTATTTACATAAAAAACAGGATACATATTATGATTGAATTGAAATGTAGAATGCTTTACCTATAAGCTGGCGAACCTAGATCAGACGGAGGCATATCCATTATTTGAAAGTGCAATCCTAATGAAGAGAACAATTCCTCCTGTATATCTTGAAGATCTTGAAACACTTTCTCGGACTGACACGGTTCGGAGCAGACAAACATTTCCACTTTAGTGAACTGATGAACTCTGCTCAAACATGATAAATTAAGAAATAAAATTGGTACAATAATAAATTTAGTAAATTTAACAAATTTGTATTTGATGATCCAAATTGATCCAACAAATTTATATTGGTATGTTGAGTTATTGTTATATCTTTATATATTGATAACATTAGTTTTTACCTATAGATTCCCCTTTCGTCCAGAGTACTTGAAGCTTCTGCGCGATAGCATCGACTAACAGCAGCCATTTTAACTGGCAATGCATCATAAGAGAATGTGGTATTCATCAACTTGGCAGCTAATGACATTTCTGCAGTTCCGGACAAGCTATAATCGTCACCGTAATGAGGATCTAAATTATAAATAAGAGTTCTATTGCCGTCCACTATCAAACCACATCTCTCGATAATTTTAGTAGGAATAATATCGGGAACTGAGAATAACTTAAATCCATGCTTCATCAATTTTCCAACTGTATAATGAACCAGTGCTTCTTCCAGTTGAGCCAAATCTCCTAGAAATGCATAAGCTCTCTGCCCAGCAACTGGACCCAACGCTTGAGTTCTTATCGCTTTTAGATTACTGATAAGTTCAGCAAACTCTTTAGGCTCAAAGTCAAATTCTGCTTTCTTGCCACATTCTTTTAACAGTCTTGGCTCATCATACTCAGTTACCACAGGATGCGTACAGTTTGGTATTTTGCTCAATTCTTGCAGGAACAATTCTTGCTTCTCGGGCTTGCCTGAGTATTCAAGGACTTTATCAATATCCCCGATACCCTTTCTTTTTCTGATATTATTTAAGATGATGTCACGATTGGCAGGATTGCACAGAAAATCTGTGTTATATTCCGGTTGTGGCATGCATAGTTTTGCAGCAGCCACACTTCTTCCCGATGCCTCTGCAGACTATTGTAATATTACCATTATTAAAAAAATTATATATAAAAAAATAAACAATAGATATAATATGTAGCATTACGTACCAATGTGTGCAGCCAAGAATGCTGTAATCTGCAAAATTGCTTGAAATATTTTCGAAATTTCATTTTATTTGAAGATTTATTTATATTATAACGTATTCAATGATAAAAAATACATTATTAAACGAAGCTAACCGGCAGCAGTTTCGATGACTTTCCTGAATACATCATCAGTATGCATAGTCACTACATAAATATTGCCAAGTTCGAAAAATAACTTAGGATTAAAGGTATATTCTTTTTAATGCATTAATTTCATCAAAATCTAAGCTTTTGATATTTTACTATTTTAGGTAGCCTAACATAACCACATTTTTTCATATGATTATAAAGGTTGATTTTGTGATGCTTTGATTGTCATATTATTATTTTTCATTGAAAACGAGTGATTGTGATTGGTTGATCCGTCCAAATAAATGTGCGAGAATTTAATATCTAGAGACACCAAGCAGTTTTGTTGCTCGAATTTGTGCACGATGGTGTGTTCCAAAATCTATAAAAAAACGACGTACTTTGCATCGAATAACTCATGTAAATTCTCCACTACACAGGATTCATATTTTATTTCGAATGCTGATATCCAATAAGAAAATGTATTTTTTAGGAACTTTATCTAACGCCATATTTATCCCTAGAAAATGAATATTTTTGATTGGTTATCTGATATTAAACAACGAAGGTAGTGTGAATCCTACATTAAATTTATTCAATTGCGCATGCGCGCAAGTGCCGCTAAAGTATCAGCGCGGGCTTGGCGTCGCTCACTTGATGGAGAAGACATAGAAAAAGGCGACATCGGGCTCGATCGGCGTATCGACTGAGCATACAGGAAATATTCATATTTAACGTTCTCTAAGTGCGAAATAACGGCAGGTAATTATGTTTGATAAGGGAGAACAATTGATGTATGCGGTTTCTCTAGCGTTTTCTTTGCTCGCCGCGTCGTGATTCCGCGTGACGATAACCGCCTCCCCTCCGTGTTTGGCGGAGCCATATTGCTATCCGTTGATAAATTCACGGAATTTTCGTACCGACTGGTGAGCGAAGCCCCGGGCGCCGAGAATGTTTGCATCTCGCAAAGTGTCAAGATGTATTTCTATCCGTTCCTCGACGACGCGCTCTGACGACGCGAGTAATTCGCGCGTGCGAAAATTTCGCGAAGAATCACGCAATCGTGGTGGCTGCCGACATTTGTACATCCCAGCACAAGGCGCAAATCACGAGAACGCGACCTTCGCCTCGCAATGTTTTCGCTGTGATAATTCACGTTCGCGCTTCTTTGTCGCGCGTTGTACTAACTTTCGGCGCGTAGTGTTGATTGTTGTTGCGAGCGAAAATTGTATGAATGCCCGTCCACGCATGACTTTTCTTTAGTGTCAGTCAGTAGTCCGTGAATGCACGTATAATGCACTTGGTTTCCACATTGTTTAGCTCTTGCACACGTTAATTCTTATTCTGGCAAACTGACTTTGTGTTGTGTCCAAAAAAACTTACGTTATATTTAAAGGTTTTTTTTGTAATAAAATAGTGGTACTTTCAATAGTAGAAAATGCAAAAGTTTAAAAAACATTTATTTCGTTTTCAATTAAGCTAACTCGATCTGAAACAATTTTAACCCCATTTTTACAAATTCTTATATGAATGGAAATGTATTCAAATTTAAAACAAAAATAGATGGAAATGTTTTCCAGTTTTGAATTACAAAATTGAAAATATGTGCTTTGTGTGTATTCTTGAGTGTATTATTTTTACTTTATAACTTAAAATCTAAATTAGATGTAAATACGTTTTTCATCAAATAGGAACTTATATAATTTGAGTTCAGCTTGTTTCAAGTTTAGTTAAATTCAGAAATACTGTTTATGTATATTAAATTGACTTTACAGATTTTATATAATGTCCTATAAATATGTTTTGTCTTTCAGGTGTAAATTATACAAATATATTATTTGAGGATGGAACTATCATCAGAAATATTGGAAAGCTTGGTTATGGATAACAAGGATGTCATGGAGGTATTAAAAGAAGAAAATATCACAGAAGAGGACATCATATTTGAATCTGAAGTGGCGGAAGATTCAGAGGAAGCAGAAATAGAAGAGATTATAGAAATAATTGAGGAAGTGGAAGAGTGTGACGAAACTCCAAGTGATGATGCATCCTCATCCAAGGATAATAATAAATCTAAGAATGCGAAAGATAGTGAATTGGTTGAAAAGACAGGAAGAAAAGAGCAAGAATCCAAGAAAAACATTGAACTTTATGGTTCTGATGAGGAGAATTTAGAATTTTCTCCGCAGTCTGTAAAACAGCCAACCAAGAGTGCAAGTAATAATGTACAGAAGATCACTAAAAAGCAAGTTATAAACTACGATGTAGATGAAGATTGGGAGGATGAAGAATTGGAACGTGCGGATGAATTAGATAAGAATTCCGAAATAACGAACAATCGCCCAAGCTCTTCTCAGAATCAAGCTAATAAAAGATATGTAAATAATCAAACTGTTTCGCTGCAATCAAATAAATCAGATTTAAGCATTCATGTGGATTCCGTAGGAAGATCAAATAAGTCCCGCATTGACAGTGGAATTGGAAATAATGTTAATAATATTGAAGATAACAATGAGACGCCACACGAAATAGTAAAGAATGTGGAGAACAATCTATTGTACACTGTACTTGGGACGAAAAAGCAAGACAACTCTGCAAAGCAACAACAAGAGAGACTCAACGATGGAAGTTATGTCAGAGTAAGTATATCTGTAAAATACTTCAAATTAGTTTTATTGTTATATTACAATATGTATGTAATACAATCCTTACGGTTTTTGTTGACAAGCAATTGTGTTCTATATTTTAGATGGAACGACTCAACGAAAACACTATACCAGTCGAAGGTACAATCTATTATGAGGGCGACAACATGGAGACACTTTATGTGGCACAAGCTGTCGATGACAATGAGCAATACCAGTACGACAATGCCGCAATGGAACAAGATGAACAAATGTCTTGGGAAGTTGTAAATCCCGAGCCGGTTTCAAATCAAGAGGATGATAGTTCTCAAGTATAACACATACAAACAGCTGATCTATAATTAGTTGCATTCAAAAAACACAACAGTTGTGCAAGCATTGGATAACAATCACCTGTGTACATATTTTTGTTAAATATTTTTCAAAAATCGATCGCTCAACGGTTGTTTTCTGAACATAGCTAATATTACAAGAAAATATAATAACAGTATGCTATAGATATCTCTATATTTTCAGGATCAAATATTTTTACACGAGGACGAAGACGGTCAGTTATACTTTAAGGATGCAAATGGTGTTTTGCAGCCGGTATACATGACTGACGATGGAAATTACGCGATCGCCGAAAGTAGCGACGATCATATCAGTAAAGAGAAATCTCAGAACAGCAACGCCATGGAGGAGGACGAGGAATCTTTCAACTTGCCCGATCTAGATTCCAGATCCGTTTCTAATAAACAGGTATTGTTATTCGTTTATAGATTTCAGGTACATTAACAAGTTTAAAGAAATTTGATGTTTCATTCTACGTTTATAATCTGCTGGACAAATACTACAGAATCACTATCGTCGTTTCAGGATCTCGACAACGAGGACAATACTGTAACGATATCCTTGATAATATCGGAGGACGAAAACGGACAGAAGAGAACTCAGGTCATCATCCCGACGACGGACAATTTGAAGTGTGACATCTGTAACAAGAGCTTCAAAACATCTTTCCAATTGCTCAGGCATAATAGACTGAAGCACGCGCGCGAGGAAGATATAACCACGAGAAACTTTCCTTGCGACTTGTGCCCTAAAAGGCAAGTTTGAATAATTTAGTAATCATTTTAAGTTTCTTTTCAATGATCGAAATTTCTTTAGATCACATTTTCATTTTATTTTTCACCAGGTATCCAGATCAGACTTCGCTGGCTCGCCACAGGAAGACGCATACCGGCGATCGGCCGTTTCAGTGCTTGGAATGTCACAAAAACTTCCCCACGTCTACGGCGCTACGTCGCCACTTGACGCAGCACAATTCACAATCGCGACCGCTTCCGTGCATCTATTGCGGCCGACGGTTCATGGATAAGGCTAGTCTGAAAGTGCACGAAGAGTCGCATATGCCTAACGAACAGCGGAAGTACGTGTGCGATATATGTCACAAGACTTTTACTCACATAACCGACCTCAGTATGCACAAGAAGTATCACGATCCCGAGAAGAAATTTGATTGCGAAGTGTGCGGCCGCGAATTCAACAGATTGAACAACCTGCAAAGACACATGATGGTCCACCAACAAGTACGTAATTTTTGTGTTGTATGAAAGTTTTAATTATAATTTTCTTCGTGACATTTCGCGACGTGGTGCGTTCCATTAAATTTAAACAAAGTTCTTATAATTTTTTTAAATATTAAACTTGTAAGAAACTGTTCACTGTTAGTAAATTTTTTTTATTTCATAAAAGTGCGTTTTATCGACTGAAAACTATAATTTTTATATCTATCGCAAACGCATGTTAATATAAAAAAATGTTTTAAATAAAATTTTATTCGATTGTTTTCATGGAATTATATTACAAATTTTTTTCCGCACACAGCAACAGGGAGGCACCGAGGAGATACTTTCCTGCGACGTTTGCGGAATCACATACAAATTCATGAGTTCGTTGACAAGGCACATGGTTACCACGCACATGAACCCGGAGAAACTGCGGCAGCAGGCGGAGGAGCAGCGAAGGAAACGCGAGAATAATTATCGGAAGTATCTAGAAAACAGAAAGATGTACGAAACTCAGCATTCGCCTTATACTACAAGGCGTAGCTATCATCGTAACAACGATGAAACGGCCTGACTTGCACCATCTCGTAGTTTCCTGATAGTTCCGTAAAGTGCAGCCGTAAGATTTCTTAATTTCTATGTGTAAGTTTGGCGGTAATATACAGACGACAACAAGGATAGCGCTTGAATGGCGACATCTTTACATCGTTAATTGGCATAACAATACAGATATGTGCATTTAATTTAACGAATATATCAATACTGTATTAATTAGGAGATATGAAATATATAGATGTCTTGATATTAGTGTATGATTATGGTATGTATGACATAGTTATATGTTGGACGCATATGCAACGTATAATTTCTTCAATCTCTTATATACACCGAATGCTGGTTTTAAAAGTAAAATAGCACAATTTACGTACATAAACGTTTCGAAGCGTGCCTTAACTAACTTGTTCATTTGCACAACGTCTCGAGCGCTCTGAAGTACGCATACTTGATGTCGAATTCCATATCGTACCAATAATTGATGGATACACAAGCGTGAGACTGCGTAACATGGTGGAACCATAGGGATGGCAAATACAGCGCGTCACCAGCTTCGAGTGTGACTCGCAAAGTGTGTGCATTACGATATTCTGGATATCTATAAGTAAAAATCTTTCGTTTATTAATCTCTTAAATAAATATGATATGAAAAAAAAAGATAACAAACTGTATGTTACATATATACGAAACTTTTTGTAGTCCGGATTTAGAGGATCTATGCATATCCATGGTGTTGAACTTGCGATGTGTTCTGAGGTATACGTTTCATTAATTGTGGGTTCAATGGTCCACTTCCCGGATTCGTGTTCTTTATAAACAGCGGACGGATAATTTTCATACGGAATCCACGGTAAATCCGTAGGCGGATGTAAAATGAAATTCTTTTCACCAGATACAACGCAATATACGTTCTCATAAGGATCTTTGTGCACTACAAGTCGGTAAAGCAAATTTTAGTATATTTAACTTTGATTATTCTTTAGGATTAAATATACATACGTTTATAAAATTATGTAAACAGTAATACAAAATATAAGAATGGTCTATGAATCTTTTAAATCTGAGATACTAAAGTACTTTTAAGATGTTATCGAATCGAATAAAACTTTACTGGAAGTTACAGCTCTTTCATCCCCCATCCAGAAGTTCACGGCATCAGGGTGCTTGCCAAATGCCTCATTAGCCCACGACATTTCCACCTCCACATCTGACCACAACTTGCAAAAGCTGTTTATAAAATTTGAGTTCTGTTTCTGGATGTAGAATATACTATCTTCCCTTGTGTTTTCTAGTGTATCGAGAAATTCCGACATTGTGAGTAAACGTTCCTCGGGCATTACAAAAAACTCGTTACCGTCATCTTTCCTAGCTACAGCATCTGCATAACCATTTGGTGTTACAGCAACTGCTACTGTCTCATCGCCAAGCACTTTGCGAAAGAATGGTATAGACCATTTGCTCACGGCAGGCCAATGTTTTACCGCTCCTTTTATAATTAATGGTATATTTTTCGAAACATACTCTCGAAAGAAAGTGAGTGGTGTAATTGCATGATTTATTTGTGCAACTTCACTTTGTAAGTACAATTCTACAAAACGAAAATTATATAAATATATATTGATTATAAAACTATGTATCGCTTTTTACAAATTTGTTCGTATACATAATTTAAAAACGTAATCTATGAATTATTAAATTACAATAAAAGGTAAAAACTTGATTCTGTATTTATAACAAAAAATAGAATAAAATTGTTTATTTTTCCATTAATAAATAATGGTTATGTTGTTATGATAAATTTTATATTTACACACATGTATAATTACATAGCATTGTATAAATTTTTTTTTTTTTTTATGGATTTTAGGTGCCTATTTTTGCTTCCTAGATTTTTTGATACTACTGCATAAATTATAGTTACAATTAATTTATAAATTATAAATAAATGAAGATCGCACACTGTGCAGTGTTACGTGTGCGTATTAGTGCGTACTGGTGCATATGGAAAAGTGCATTAACCAGATATGAGGTTAACACATGTTTTAAGAATTAGATAACAAACCTTTTGCTTCTTGTGATAGAATATGAAATGCCTCTTGGATTCTAGTCTCAACGTTTGACATTTCTTTCACATCAAAGGACAAAAACAAAAATAAGATTGATTATTTTCAACCAAGTCACACTAATGTTAGCCGACGTGTAGATGGATGAAGGTTAGAGATTTAAAATCTACGTATGTATGTATCTCTCGCCAATCAATACGTATCTTTCATTGACACTGTCCGGTAATTATTAGTCACATGTTATCAAGGATCTCATTGTACGTCTTACAGTGTCTAATAACAGTGATACATGAGGAAGAATGAAGACGTAAATTATATATAAATGTATGTCCATTTTGCTAAGTATATAAATATATATATAAGCATTTTGATAAAACATAAAAAAATATTTATAAATGGAAACAATTTTTAATTATAAACTGCAATTATGTGTATTGAAAATAAGTGGAAGTATTTTTTTATCTCTTGTCATATTATTATATAAGATTTTTACATAAGCATTAAATAAATCTCCACTGACATAGCTTGCTTATAGATGTAAATATAGAATTGTAGAATACGTATTATTTGATTATATTGCATTATTATTTTAACATTTATAACAGTGGAAAATTTTAACCAAGATATATAACGAGTAAGATTACGTGAAAAGATTTTGAACTCTGGATATTCTTAATCTTTAATTATTTAGAATCACAGATATTATATCAGTTATGTATCAGCCATGTGTGTATGATGTTGATTTGATTTCAGATGCACCGCACAGATAAGGGCAAACTGAGTTAATAACAAGCCAAGATAGTGAAATATACAGAGATAAGTGCAGTTTCATAGTTCATTGATAAGTGTAGTCTGAGAACTAAGCCTATGCCGTAAACACAGATTGTATTATTATGGAGAAACACAATACGCTGTTGCAGATACAATTAGAGAGACCTCTCTTTGAACACGAGGCGTTGAATGAAAATTACAATTATGAGAAGCCAAAATCATCTTGTAAGTTTTAACAGAGAAATGTAAATATGTGTGTGTTTTACACTGCTGGATAAATATTGACACAATATTATTATATAAGGTGTATGATGATATTTTCCATATTAAAAAGCTATTTTGTTCTAATCATAAATACTGAAATGGTTACTTTTTCTTTCAGTGATGCAAAATACAATCAACAATGTTAAATCAAAAAATTGGCGATCTTGTTTAGTATCAACAGTGCCAGCTGTAAAGTGGCTTAGTAGGTATAATTGGAAAGAAAACATCTTGCCTGATATTATTTCCGGTTTAACTGTGGCGATTATGCATATACCACAAGGTATGGCCTACGCGCTATTAGGAAACCTGCCACCAGTGGTCGGCATATACATGGCCTTCTTCCCTGTCTTTGTATATTTTTTCTTCGGTACATCTAGGCACGTGTCCATAGGTGAGA